TGACTCCTAAATATCGTCATCGGCATCGGCTATTGAAAAACCCATATCGGTCGACCTCTACTTATGACCATCAATTTAAAGCAGTAAAAGCATAGTTTGGTAAACTATTGGTCCACTTTTTAGAAGAAGAAGAAGAATTAGAAGTAAAAGAAGAATAATTAGAAGAAGAAGAGGAAGAAGCTTTACTGATCCCCATGGGGGAGGTATAACAAGAATTTCCCCAACTTGCACTCTGCAGGTGAGAGCAAGCTGGCCGCCAAGGGCAGTCACCCATTACAACAAGCAGAGAGCTGGGGCTTAAGGGCCTCGCTCAAGGGCCGGCAGATGTGCCGAGGCTGGGCTCAAACCAGCAACCTTCTAATCACAGGCACAGAGGCTGAACCCCCTGAGTCACACGCTTGCTCATCTACCACTAACAAAATTAATTAATTAAAAAATTGCTTCTTCACCAAAGTTAGACACAGAAGCCTTTACAACTAGATTGGGGGGTTGTTGAAATGACAGCATTCCCCAAACAGCCTTGTCACCTACTCCCTTCATCCAAGACCGATGCCTCACACACTCACCAACCTGTATAATTTCTAGAAGTACTAGATGGATCAACTGGAAATGTGAAAATCAATAAATGTGTTTTTCCCTGAATGCTCTGAGTCCTATAGCTCTGAGAAGTAACTCAAACTACACCTATTCATTTATTGCACATTACACCTACACTAAGAAATTCATACCAACTAGCTGGTGGCAAAAAATTCAGCAAACTGGAATGTATGTCTTAATGTCCATGTCTTTAAAGTGTCATTTATATTACTCATATTTAAGTGTCTAAATATTTACATTCTATTTATTTCTCATTTGCACTATGACTAACATTTTCTGTGATATAACAATAAATGTATCAGACAGACTAATATTATAGACCTGTCCTGGAGGTGCCACAGACTATTTCAAATTTTTTTTTGTTTCCATGGGCATCATGTATTTTAATATCATTTGAACAGACGCGTTTGTCCAAAAAGACTTACAGGAGCACTGCAGACAGTATACTAAATCATGCCTTAGTTTAAAACACCCACAAAATACTAAATCAAGGTCATGATCACAGTGCCTGAACCTACAAAACAAATAATGGTTCAAATCTGAACAAATTTTTCAATACGGGGCAATCATGCAATATGTGAGATGAGTGCAAACTCTAATCCTCACATTTCCTGGAAGACTTAATTGCATGACTACACTGATTTGTTCCATCTGCACAATAAAAAAATTATGTTCTTATTGACATAATATATAATGGGATTAGCTACAATCAACAAGAACAATATTTACAAATCATTTTTTTTTTTTTTCTCTTGGCTTTCACTTAGAGCATACCAATTGCTTGCCCACAAAACAAGGAATATTGGCAAACAAGTGCCTGAATATCAGTGTTTACAAGATGGTGGTCAGTGTTTGCTCTCGACTGTCCTCTCCTGGCAGTTCTAATTTTGACGCTTTCTGTCCTTGCACTTGCAATTTGTGCGCATTTTAGGTGTATCTTCTATACAATATTTTTGTGAAGTGTTAAGATCAACCAAAGATCAAATAGAGTAAGTAGAGTAAATAATGACAGATTCATCCTGTCCCAAGAATTAGCCTCTAATCATCTCATCCTTCTCTTTGTTCTCTTCTAAGTGCCACTGCTTCAATTTTGGTGCAATTTGTCTAAATATTTGGATACATCCATAGCTTCTCCCATACACAGTGCCTGCAAAATCTAGCAAAAATCGGCCAAATAATTGTTGAGATTTCATGCTGACAAGATCAAGCGTCTGTGCTGACCTTCTCTTTATCATTATGCATCGCTGCTTCGATTTTGGTGTGATTTGTCGCAAAATTTGATCAAGTCCAGACAAACATTACAACATGCCTGCAAAGGTTGAAAAAGATCGATCAAACACTTTGAGTTACTGTGATAACAGGATTAAATGTCTGAAACTACCATTCTTTGGTATTACTATGCAGTTCTGTTTCAGTTTTAGGAAAAACTCAAAAATTGATCACTTCCATTTTGTCATTATTACAATATGTTTGAAAAGTTTGAAAAAGATTCATAAAATACTTTTAGAGTTACAGTGTTCACAACACCAGCACCCATATAATGTTTTTGTGAAACAGTAAAACGATCCATTAAATACTGTTTGACTTACTACATTCACAAGGTCAAATGTCACCTGCTTTCACCCTTCTTATTCATTATTTTAATAATAAACCATTAATACTTTAATTATAATAATATTGTTGTGCCCAGCAGGGACAGAACGGAGACAAAGGCGCAGACGTCAGGGTATCGGGGAATACGGGGTTTAATTACAGGTAAGGCAGGCAAAACACAGACGGAAAATACAATGACCAGACAGAGGAAACAAACTGAAACGCAGAGGACTAATGACAACAACCAGAAACCGCTGATCACACGGCGATTCCACACGGGATCAACGAGGGGGCGTGGCACACGGAAGGAGCGGACGATTCATGGCAGGACACATTGTTTGGATACATTTATTTTCTTACTTTACAAATTACTGTTTTGCTAAATGTGCTTAGATGTGTTTAGTACAGTATATGCTCTTGTGGTTTTATTCGGTTCATTTTGTGTTTAAGTTCTAAAAAAAACATAGTTAGGTGTAATTTTTTGTAGCCGGGAACCAATTAATTTGTTTTCCATTATTTCTTATGGGGAAAATTCGATCACAACTCGGACTTTTTAGGATTCGATCTGGAGTTCTGAACGGATTAAATTCGAGTTCTGAGTTACCACTGTACAATAAACCACAGATTAAGAATTAGCAGCACATTCTGCCATTACCCAGTTTCTGGGAAATAATCTATGACCGAGAAATTTAAAAAAAACATAGGCCTATACAATGATGCATCACTCATGTTTGTGCCAAAGATTATAAAATCATTACACCATTAACCAGTAAAAAAAAAAAAATGAGATATCATATTAAACTAGGTTTTAGCCTAACAATCAACTAAAAAATAACGTTTGATCCAACACTGCCATATGAATATCAGTTCTAAACTAACGTGGACATCCCGGCAGCTTCAAAGCACTTATGCAGACGCAGATATGACACGGCTAAGTGCGTTGTTTTGGATGCGCAGGAACGCTCGGCCTCTGCATAATTTCAGTACAAACAAGTCTGGATTTTTTAAATTCCTGACACCTTTTCTTGACATCTCAAGGGGATGGTGATTGTGAAACGCGGTTACAATAGGAGTGCGCAACCACACTCACCTAGACAAATGACTTACCTACCTGACCCTCCCCCCTCCCATTTTCTCCTCCCTCCCTCCTTCCTCGCTTTCTGTATTGACTGCAATGCAGCAACACCAAGCCACTCCGCAATTCCCCATCACAGGAGGTTCCCCCGTATGATACAGCAGATCTGTACAGTTACGTCCACTAATTCGATTTTTTGCAACTCGGTCCCCGGATTTACGTTGTATTTTCAATATTAAAATCTTTAGTACCGACAAAAATGACTCGAACAGGTTAACACGCCGCATTGGCGATATTAAGCATCTCCTATTGAAAACATCAATTACTTTATGTATTTGAATATAATGACTAATGAGTAACCGCTATTGAAAAGGAATCACTAAGTACCTTGATCTAAAAAGCCCGTAATGATGAACGCTTCCAGGCCGAGATTCCTTATCTGAAAGGTGCAACACAGACATGTCTGCGGCGCCGGGTAGTAGCAGTGTACTTCATATTACCCTCTAATACCGCATTCACCGCTTGCCCTCAAATGGCAACATTATATTCCCACATGTGCAAATGAAAAAAGAGCAATCGGAACATTAAAAACTATAAATGAGGCTGAGTTATACTGGAGACAGGTGCCCTTGGCGATGTGCATCTGTACCCAAATTATCAACACCGCAATCAGTCCGCGTAATGTCATCTAATGTATCAAACCACTGGCTTCTATAGATAAATATAGAATAATTAATAAATACATATAACTCTACACAATGTTACACGAATATATAGGACATGGTTTCTCACCGTGTCTCCGGCTGTGCAATGTCAGCAGTAGCTGTTTGTTAGACGCTCCTTCGTTCGGGACTCTTATTCCTCCCCGGACTCGCACGCTTCTCTTTGTTTATGTGACGCCTTAACTGCTTTCAAATAATACGCATCACAAAGGATTACAACTGTACAGCGGAACAGGGTTGGAGAGCGGGCGTCTTTTCGGCCCCTCGGCCATGGACCGAGGTTACACTCAGTGAACAGCAGCGATGGGGCTTGCGCGGATCTCCGCTCCGGTACTTTCCATCCCCGCTCATTCGCCGCCGGGCTGTGTTGTAATCCCTCTGACCGTCTGCACGCATGCAACCGGATGTCCACCGATGACAGCCGGAAGCTGGAAAGGCCTGCTTGTGGGTCTTTTTTCCCAGAATTCAATACATTCAGAGTCAGACTAAATTACATCATCAGCACCCATTACCGGCGCCGTTTGCTCCGTGTGTTGTCAGGTCTTTGGGCTATTTTGAAACTACAGTGGTGGGTAATTATTAGGAGGTTGCGGGTTTTGGGGCTACCTTCATGATAATGACTTGCCCATGTGAGAGTAAAAACAAATTAATTATGAATGCAAGTGGCTCCTAATGCTGAGTAATACTGAATCGCTAGCCACCGAAAGTCAGAGAGACGTACACGGAAAGCAGAATGTGCATGTGACGTGATACTCACGCTTTCAGACTCTCACGCAAGCAGTCTTGCGGCAAAAGATTATTCCATTATAAACCTAAAATTAGCTATATCAGAGGCGTTGGGGTAGTTTGCAAACCATACAGAGTATTTACAAAGTAATAAAACTTACATGTAAATGTGTCTGCAGTCTGGATTTGAAAATCTCACTCCAGCCAGCCCAACAAAGTTGACAGCCCTTGGAAAGAAGAGTGCGTCAGTCTACGTGACGTCATTGCGTTTACCTGTGCTTTTAAAATGTTGAGCATTTGAATGTGATTAAAATGCAAAATACTGGTTTATTTCTTTGAGATATACTGTAATATACTGGGATTTCAAATATTGGGCTAGTTCCAGCTTACGTTGAGCGGATTTTAAGCAAACCTTGGGCTGGAGATTTTTGCTGGTCCTGGCAACACTGCGCTCCAGTGACCCGTGACACGGAGCCTGAAGTGCGGCAATAACACGTGTGCGATTTGTTTCGGTCATCCCATTAAATTACTCTTACATCCATAAAAGTACTCTTTAAATAAGGACAAAGGACACTTACAAATAAAGATTGTTTATTAAAATAAAGACAACAGATTTCCACTTTCCACCCTAAACAGCGATTGGCAACTATACGCAAGTAAGACAGAGCTACAAAAAACACAAAGTAAAAAATGTAACTCATGACAAGCATTATTTAAAGGGAAAAGGCATCCCGGCTGAATGATGCGAGAGAAACAACAGAATGTGAGGAATACATTTGCCGCACATCTACAAATGTAAATGTATCCTCTTCGCAAATTTAGTTTTCCAGAATATTTAAACTGAAGTGGGACCCAAGACAACATTCAAAGGTTCAGTAATCGTCTGTTAGGTCCAAGTAAATGAGACCTGTGGTTTGGAGTATGGGCAGGACAACTCACTAACCAAATACTCAGGCAGTCATATGGTTTATCATTGACCCTAACTCCAGGCACCTTGCTGAGCAGCAAGTATTAAATTTAAAATGTAAGCTTTTACTAAATTTAAATTTATTTCACATCTCTACCTGAAGCCACTTACATATTAAGGCTTGTATTTATTACAAAACAAATTACCCCAAATTACCATGAAGCTCTAAGATGAGCAAATAAACTTTTATCCTAATTCCAGCTGCTTATCCTGGTCAGGGTCGCTGGGGGTTGGGGGGTGAAGTTTATCGCAGTGTTGTATTTATTGTCTTAAAGGTGGATAATAGCTGGATTTAACCACCACAGAGAATAGGCCACCATGTGATGACATCAACTTTTCAAAAACAGAAAATTATCTTTTCATTATTATAGCATGTTCATTGCTGTCATTCCATTATCCATAATTCCACTGTGTTATGGGTTTTTTTTTTTTGGGGGGGGGGCTTACTGTGAGTATAAGGCCTCAGGCAGAGTGTTTCATTCAGAGAGTATGGGTATGCCTGCTTAACCAAGACAACCAACCCTCCCTAGCTCAGGAGAGGAGTACAGCTTGATGTCACTGAAAGGTTGCATTATCAAAATGTAATCCTACCCAAGCATCCCACTATGTTAGAGTCTGCTCCACTGCACACAGCTGCATCAAACTCTGCACCAGCTGCTTTTGGTGACCATTTTTTATCATGCACCTTCCTTGGACCGTGGTGGACAAGGCTATGGCCAAGCCCACAGCATTGATGTACTTCCTCTTATTTGGCACAGGCAAAACACGCACATCACACATCACAGACACACACATGGTTGAAACTCATTTGGTGTCTTTCTGCAGTTACAGAAGAATACTGATCCTAAGTCATTCAATATAACCTCTCATTATAGCACAAACACATGGAAATGCTACTATTTAAAAGTGTTTTGTTCCACCTCATCTCACAAAGGATTGTTAGTTAATTATTTTTTTTTGCTTTGCATGGAACATGATGTCATGATGCAGAGGTTAAAAAAAAAACTGTCCTACTCCTATCCCCAGAACTGAACAGCTAGAGTCTTCAACTGAAGCAAAAATATAGTGAAATGTATACATCTGAAGTTCTCAAGGATGTGTTCCGTTCAGGTAATGAACAGATGAGAACATGGGGTGATGAGAAGCGACCATCACTCCAGTCATTCAACACATTTTCTTTTTAGGATTTGACAGGATCTATTTCGCATAAGGCCAGAGTGACTTACTTAAGCTGAATTACTGTCATCTTAGATGTTTTTGTCTTCATCATCATCATCATCATTTCACTCAATGCTGTTTATGTTCCACTAAGATCTCATATTTTCCCTCTTTGCTCATAAAGATTCTTTATCTACTCCATGTTTGACCTGATTCATTAAGAACTGCGCTGTCTGCTGCTCCTGGTTCTAAGTGACCTAAGTGTGATCCCCACTGACTCAAAGACAGGAATTAAAAATTTCTTGGAAACTATTTGCAGACCTGTATAAAATCTTAATACTTAACTCAGCTACACGAAATAAACTGGTGCTTGCTGGAACCCATACTGATTGCTGTGTTATAATTATAGTAATAATAGTAAACTCAATGTCTAATTTGTTTATAAATGGTAAATGGGTGAAACTGTATGCATGCTGTGAGACTTTACACATCACAGTGGTCTTCGCTAAACTGTTTATTACAATGGGAATATATATTTAGATTTTAAAACTCTGTTTATCTCTCCATCACTGCCATACAAGTGGTACTCCACTAACACCTTCACCAGAAATAACCAAAACACATACACATACACCCACACACCACCCAAGAAACACTGTTTCACAAACCCTTTTATACAAAGTTGCACCATCTTTCAAAAATGGCCGTCATCCTCAGAAACATTCAACTTTTAGTTGGTAAGCACCTTTGTTTTCCAGCACTGACTGGTGTTAATGGTTGGTGTCTGGCTGGGGGTAACCTTTTTTTTTCTCTCACTCCAAGGAGTTTTAGTGCTATTGCTAATCTGCCAATCAGCAGACAGCATCTTGAATCCTGGAGTTTAACTTTGACGCTTGTGCAGTCTTCCATGCAATGCTCTTTTTCGCCGCTGATTATTTCTCCTATTACATCTATGCCATCCAAAGAATTAACTGCTCAGTAATTCAGGGAAATCCAGTAACTCAAGAATTAAAAAATGGCAAAATACTAAATCCAGGAGGTTCTTTCTCCCTATAATACTGGAAAAACACCATTATTACAATTTGTGCTTCAGACACACCACATTACCAGTGAAACAGTCACTCCAGCTTGCATCATTTACAAATGCCACACTTCTGTTCTCCAGTCTCATATAGAGCACAAAAACAAAATACCCGCCAACAAAGCAATAAAGGAGAGGCCTGCCCTCCAGGGTCAATTCTGATTGGCTAGTGTGGGCTACAGAGCTCTCAGAGAGAGTGGGGCGTGGGACAATGACACACACTTTGGGAGGCGGACCTTAAGGAGGAGGTTTGCTGTAACCAAACAGTCCCACGGGGAGATATTTGACATGTGTTGGCCATTGAGCAGCGAGCTGAAAGAATTTGACATCGTTCCACTCTACCCCATCGACGGACACTGGAACAGAGAAGAAGAAAGGCCAGACAGTTTTAGATTAATGCCCTTTTGCTTCAGCATAAAAGCAGGTAGACTAGATCAACAGATTAATTTATTTTTAAACTAAGAATAAGAATTGGCAAGAAACATGATCTAAGTCAGGGCTGCCCAGTACTGCTCCTGGAGATCTACCACCTGCCAGAGCTTAAATGCAGCCCTAATTTAACACCCGATAAAGATAACCAGGCCCTTCTGTAGCATCTACATTAGTGGCCAAAATTGTGGAAACACTTCCAGTTTTTAGAGATTGCAGAACTTTATTCCTGTTACTCCAGTTATTTATTTAATTGTCCAATGTATGATATTTCTAAACATTCTTTGATTGTTTATAAACATTGCAGAAAGTATCTGCATAGTATTTTTTGAAAAGTAATGCCAAAAATGCTAGGTGTTTCCACAATTCTGGCCTCTAAAGTATGCCTAACCTAAGGTGGCCAACCAGTTGTTGATCATGACAGGCAAAATATGCCAAGGGGGCTCCCCTGGTCAGAGGCAGAATATACCAAGAGGATAACCCCCCCCCCTCCCGACCCAGTCTGACCATAAAGATTTGACTTTTGTCAAAGTCACTCAGATCGCTACACAATTCTTATGCATTCGACTATAAGCAGACTACAAGTATAGAATGTATAATAGACTGTAATCCAGACCTTGACACATACCATTTTTACTAGATATTCAACAATAATCACTTAACAATGGGGTAGTCATAATATTTTGGCTCATCAATGTATATATTTAATTCAGGAACAATTGATCTGTCTTTTTCTGTTAACCTATCACTGTCACTCCATCCTGTCATATGATATGCCCATGTGACCATAATTCTCCAGGAAACTATACCTTTCAGCATGGTCTGCTGCTGCTTGGCAGAACATATGAGTCTGCTGATGCCTTCGATAACCTGACTCTTAGACTCCATTTCCTTCTCCTTTGGCTTCTTCCCCAGGAATAAGGTGGGAACTATGAAGATATGAGCATTTGCACACACACACTGATGCACACATTAAAAGAACCAATGTAAAGGTTTGGTGAATCAATCTAGGGTAATACAGCAGGCTTGCTATACTATTCATAAAAGAATGTAGTAATGACTAATGAATGGCCGATTGACGGAAGGTATCTGTTATTACGGATAAAGATAAATTTTACATATATCGATAAACGGCGGATAATATGAGTGGACTTCATTGCTGATACTGACACTGTACCAGCCCATCTGTAGATATTGTTCATACTCACCCTTCTTGTTCTTCTCTTTGGTCACAACAGTCATGGACATGGTGTTGACTTGGGCCTGGAGATCGATGGCGCACCCTCCTGGCAGTCTGGTGACTTGCAGTGATCGGAAGGCGCTCTTCAGGGTGTTCTTGCAACCCGCGTCTCGTCGCTCTCCCTCTCGCCGTTTGTCTGCTAACGAGGCCAGCCAATAATCCACCTGCAGTCCTATGGCGTCCACTCCAGGGGACATGCTGGGGCTCCTGGGAAGTGAGGGAGTAGAGGTGACATCACACATGAACAAAGGCAGCCAATGACAAGGCACTTGACTACAGATGTAACAGCACAATCAGCAGCAGTCTGCCTACCCCTGCACAGACAGACCGGCACTCATGGACGGTGAGGAGGGTGGGGTGGCTGTCACATCCTTCATCAGGCCAACAGTGGGGGCATGAGAGGGAGGGGAGGTAGAGGGGACGGCCAAGCTGACAGACAAGCCCTCATCTGTATCTGCAAACAAGAACAGGTGGGTGAAGAAGAATGGAGCTAAACCATTTAAAGTGGAATTACACCAAAATTATGGGTGGTTGAAACAGCCAAAATGTCACATCATGATAGTTTGGGTTAGAATCATGATCCATAATATAGATCACATTTGTTTTTGTTTGTTTACAAACCAATCAAACTGCAATGTACGCAGAAATGTTAATTAACCATTTAACCAATTAACCAGTATTTCTATCCTCACAAGAAACTCTGCTCGTAGCACAATAATAAATAATAATAATAATAATAATAATAATAATTGTTATCAAATAATAAAAAGAAACTGACTCATAGCAAAAGTATTTTCTAGTACTGAAGTTCTAAGTACAAATGAACATTTATTACTTTAGTTAATAATTGTACAATTCTAAACTTCTAAACTGAAATTTACAACAAATGCAAACAAATAACAGATAAATAAATTTGGCTGTGTTGGCACTTGTATGAAAAATATCTTCGCAAACTTTGCAAATTAGAGTTAATTGTTCCACAAATCCAAACCATTTCCATACAAATAGAACCTTTTTTGGAATCCATTCTTCCTCATCAGCCATGCTGCACACTCTCATTATTGAATAGTGTAGCTGATCCATCTATATGTTGTTTACTGCATGACACGAGTGCAATATTTTTAGCAGTCCGATGTTATATAAATGTTAAACTGGTTAGAAATGATCAATTACAATTTGAAGATCCAGTCACTAAGCTGGGATCCACTGAGATTTATAACTGACAAAGAAATATGAGATGTTATGCAGGATGAAAATGCTTTGTTTCACATCGGTCTCTTTTTACTGTAGTACTGTTACTGCCTCTGAACACGCAGGTATTGTGTGATAGGCGCGTGCTGCTTTGTTCTATCATTAATGTAATAATGTTAAGCAGAGCACTTGTGACTGGGCATTCGCTGGAAGCTCAGCCTAGCAGCACTTATGCCGACTCCTCAACCACACATAGGCTGGTCAAAATCTGAGAAATCAAAGTCAAAATAAAGTAGTGCTGTATCGCTGAATTCTCACAATAACTCTGAAAACTTATTATGGATATAATTGCAACTTATTGCAAATTATTGTCATATTTCCCATCACAAACTAAAACAATTATTTTGTGCAGCTACAGGGAACCATATTAGAGGAACCATGTAGAGAGAACTTGGATTTTGTTCTCCAGAACTACTTGGATGTCATCAGTAAATATTTCAGATTTGTATTTTAAGTCTGTGGAAAAGAATGGTTATTGAGGATGGTTTATTTTGAAAGAGTACTTTTTACAGCGGTATTTTTATTAAAAAGGAAGGTAAAACGATAATCTAGTTGATAGTTATGCTCAGCTATTGGTGAAAAAGCTACATGATCCAACGATAAGAAAACAAAACATCCATAAGCAATCTTTATATAAGGCCATGTTTACATTTAGCACAGAATTTAAGTGACCTCAAGGTACGTCGATATGAATTATATAAAACGCCCTATACAGCTGAGATACAAGCCTTTGTAAGATGTTGAACATACAGAATACATTTATTTTAATATGACCGTAATATCACATTATCCAAAAACTCCTTACCTGCCATTGACGGTCCAGGTTCAATCAGACCCACTTTCACAACCTGTGTATCATGCAAAAGCCAGTCACTCAAAATGCACATTTCCGACAGCTGTGTGCTGATCCACCATCTCCAGATAATTCAGTCTGAGCACCACCAACATCTTTTAACTGATTTTTTATATCACGTTTTTCTTTTTCAAAGACGGCACTTACCCCGATGAAGGGGATGAACTTCTGATAAGAGTCTTCATCATGCCTGAGAACAGAAGCAGCTCAGTGTAGGTAAGCCAAGAGCTTGAGTTTACTTTACCAGCACAGACACTCACAGCCCAATCTCTCCATCACTACTCCAGCTCACAGACACACAAACACTCACGTCCTGTGCTTGCAGGTTAGCATGGCCTCTGCGATAGGAAGCTGGTGCGTGATTGCAGCTCCACTGATGTACTGGGTAATCCGGCCCACCACATCCAGCAGCTCTGCAGGACACGGGAGGCGAGAGGCAGTCAGGGCGGTTATGTGTGTGAACACACTGCGGAGGGGCTACGGAATGTTTCCAGTGAAAGGCTACCTGTCTGTGGGGGCTCTGAACGGCTGAAGACATCTCTCCAGCTGCTGTCAAGGAAGGCGGAGCTGTAACGACTGTCTAGCGCCCCCAGGTGCTTGGCTACAGGGTGCGATCCTGTGAGGAATTACAGGGACATCAGCTGCAGGTCTGTCTCACAGGCAGCACTGGAATCCAAGAACTGATACTTTATCGATCCACCCTTCTACCCCCCTGTCAGTAGACTGCCCACCCCTCCTGCTCACCCAAGGGCACCACAAGGAATCGCATATGGTTCAGCCAGTCAGATGTCTTGTTGGCCAACTGCGTGACGAAGAAGCACAAAATGGCCCCCAGGTAGCTCTGCCCCCCCACAGCGGCGATCTTCACTGGTCTCGGCACCGACGAGTTGCAGTTACAGCTACAGGGGGGGCAGTGGAGAGAGGAGGTGAGGCCCGACCCATCTGTGACACCGAAACAGAGCGCCAAGCTCATGGTGTGAAGAAACCGTCAGCAAACACTCACAACTTCTGAATGCGTGTCAGGACAGCAGAGAGGACAGCCTGGATCTCGGCAGCTGAGCAGGTGCACACCGTCGGCTGCTTCTGGGCCTGCAGCAGCTCTGCCACGTACTGCAGCCACACATCAAGCGAATCAGCTCCGACCCATCAGGTATATCCCAACACTAATCCACACGCTCTCGCACACATCAGAACTACAGTATAGTAATCACATACACTGTGCAATCCCAGATATTCACTGAGCTGTGAAGACATACACACGCAGGTTTTTAAAGTTCACAGCTGAGCTCTGGACAGTGGTTGGTGTTGAACTCCTCTGAAAGCTGGGATGTGCTGTGAGCCCAGTATTTGTAATTCTATCTGTATTTATTGAGGTAGCAACGTTATTTGTATTTGTATTTAAATAAAATTTAAAATAGGCTTAAAATCCAGCTTTTGTTGTTATTACACTAATTTTATTCTTCTGAACAGACATAATATTAACAAACAAACAAAAACATTATAAATAAAAATTGTTCTCCCTCTCAAATACCAAAAGAAACAACTAAATCTTATTTTACCACTGACTGGGAGATCTGGTGGAAGACAATTTTTACGTTCTGTCCAATAGGACGTTAGGCAACTGGATGCTATGTGAACATCATACACACTATGTACATACCCGTGCGGTATACTTAATTTATACTGTAACTGTACTCTAGTAATGGCCCAAAACAACACTTCATGAACCATTTGCTTTATTTTCTAACTCCACTAGATGGTGCTCTCAGTTCTAAAAAGGGCTCAAAGAATGCACAAAAGTAAAGCAAGAGTGCCATGTAGTGGGCTCAAAAAATACGGCAAAGGGTTCATGAAGTATCATTTTGGTTGTGACCAGTGTACTCCCTAAAAAGCAGTGATGCCCAAAACAACGCTTCATGAACCATTTGCTGCTGTACGGAAAGACGTTAAGTGATGCATAAATGTATATATATTCATCAATATCATTATGAATTGAAAGATACAGTCTTGTTATATTATGTGATTTATAAACTGCAAAAATATAACCTAAACAAATATTACCATGTTTCCTCAAAAATAAGCCCTAGCATGATTTTTCAGGATGTTCGTAACATAAGCCCTACTCCAAAAATAAGCCCTAGTTACTATCCCATGGATTGTACGGTAACTAGAATGAGATGCGATTATACGTAAACAGGAAACAGGAAATAATATTAATTTATTTAATATTTGAATACATGTGTTGTATGTGCTGTAGTTTGATGTACATGGGAAAATAAGCACTAATGCGTCTTTTGAAGCAAAAATGAATATAAGACCCTGTCTTATTTTCGGGGAAACATGGTAAGTTTTTATTTTTTTCCCTTTATGTAGCAATGTACTAAGCTTTGCATACATTCAGTCTCTCCCCTCCACTCTCCTATTGTCTTCCTGTCATATCAGCAGAAGCAGGCGGAGCACAAATACCCACCGTCCGAGTTATGAGGAACACCAGCTTTTCTTCTCAAAAACAAATAATTCTTTAAATATTCGTACAAACTAAATATTTGTAAAAGCCCACTATTTTTGCTTCCCGAATACTGTGTTCAGATTCGGCTCTACCTCCATCTCAAATCCACTCTTACCTGGCCCTGCCACTCGCTGCAATTGACTAGGATCAGACTCTCAGGAAGGGCAGCATCTGATAGGAGAATCTGGTTCAGCTGGTCATAAACAGCCTTCCTCAGGATCTGCGGCACACAGGCACAATGCAGTGTCAGCACAGTTAAAACCATATGTGTGGAGTCACTGGGCCAACATTTCACCAGATCTAGTATATCCAAGTCCATGCAGTGAACAAAATGCTGAAAGCTCAGTGCTTCACTAAATGAACAACTTGGCCCTTGAAATGTTAAAAGCAGCCATCAATGTTTCAGTTTGTGGTGACAGATTATGGTTAGGATTGGGGTTAGGTAACCTCTACGGAGAAGAGAAAAATATCATGTCGTAGTAATTCGTGCTCTCGAGTTACTAGTCTGTGCTCTCACGTTAGTAATTCTTGAGTTATTAAATCATGCTCTCTGATTGGTGATTAATATCAGCGAAAGAATTACTAACTTGAGAGCACAAATTACGAACTTGAGTACACAGATTAGTAACTCAAGTGCACAAATTACTACAAGATCATTTTTTCTTCTACCAAGACACCTAAGGGGCTCCGTAAAATTCTATAGTAAAGCAGTTTCTCTCTGAATTTATTCCATCACTTGACATCACAGAAGATTCTGATCAGTCTTAATCCTGATAGATCCAGATCATCTCACTTCTTGTGGTTCAGCTCGAAAACCTCTTGGTTTAAAAACAAATTCAAGTGCAGAGAAAATAAGACAGTAGAAAATGATTCCAGATAAACGCTCACTCTAAAGGAGGCAATAGTGGAGGACAGCTGGAGTGACAGGTGACAGTACCTGCGTGCTGTGCCCCAACTCAGGTGAGCGCTCGCTGTCGGAGCTGTTAGCCCGCTCGTTTAGCTTACACAGCTGCCGCTCCTTTGGGGGGGTGTTGCGCTTCTGCCTGGGAGTGTGCCCACCTTCCAACCTGATACAACACAGATACACTCGGAGTCACATACATGCAGAGTGTATGAGTGTGAAACCACGAGTTTGAGTGTACTTGCTGACCATGGGAAAGGGGCAGTCTGAACCTCACTCCTGTTACTCTTTAGTGAGTGTGATTGTACATGCTGACCTTGGAGTGGACCTCCCTCCTGCTGCTTTTCAGTCTGTTTGAGTGAACACATTGACATTGGAGAGGGGACAGTCTGGACTTCACTCCTGTTGGTCTTCAATGAGTGTGAGTGTACACAATGACCTTAAAGAGGGGACAGTCTGAACCTTACTCCTGTTGCACTTTAGTGAATGTGAGTGTACAAGCTGACCTTATAAATTATATAAAATACTTTATTTCTCGTTATGTTATTTTGATCTTGTTGTCCACGCATCCATTGCTATCAATTTTATTCATTTTTATGTCCTTGACGTTATAGGTTAACCGGAAATAACCCAATACTAAGAAGCAGAAAGGAGCCATATCGGCACCTATTTTAGAGAAGTCAGACATACTTCAGTCAATAAATCGATTCCCCTCCCATGCATGAATACTGGGACAAGGACAGTAGTCCAATTAAATTAGCTGTGCATGTAAACGTACTGAGTGAATGTGAGTGTACATGCTGATCTTGGGGAGGGGGCTGTCTGGACCTCGCTCCTGTTGCTCTTCAGTGAGTGTGAGTGTACATGCTGACCTTGGGGAGGGGATAGTCTGGACCTCACTCCTGTTGCTCTTCAGTGAGTGTGAGTGTACATGCTGACCTTGGGGAGGGAGCAGTCTGGACCTCGCTCCTGTTGCTCTTCAGTGAGTGTGAGTGTACATGCTGACCTTGGGGAGGGGACAGTCTGGACCTCACTCCAGTTGCTCTTCAGTGAGTTTGAGTGTACACACTGACCTTGGGGAGGGGACAGTCTGGACCTCACTTCTGTTGCTCTTCAGGGGGGTCCTTGGCTTCTCTGGTACTGAGACAGTTATCCCAGACACATCTACCAGCTCCTGGTCGTTTGGCTCCTTTATAGCCAAAAATAGACAAAATGTGACCCAAGAAAATGAGCTAGTCTTGTCATTAGATTATCATACAGTACCAATCTGGGTCTGCCAGGGCATCTTACCAGAATGTCCGTCTCGGACGGAGCGTCATCCAGATTGCGGCTTCTGGAATGCTTCATCTTGTCAAAGGGCAGCTGTTCCCCCTGCTGGATAAACAGACTTTGATCGTCATGGATGTTGCCATTTCACGTCATAACATTCAAAACTTCAGTAAGCTTGTGTGATTCGCAGGCCCATGCTTGGCTCTCACTCACAGGACTGAAGACATCCCTGCCCAGGCTGCCTCTGCTGTTCACGCTGCCGAACTCCGTTTGTGAGCTTGACTGGGACATGCCCTCAAAAAATGGCCTAAGAGAGCACACAGAAACAGCGTACAATGTTTAAAATATGATAGTATCCTTACACAGAGTTTACCTGTCTCTTTGAACCATTTCCTCATTTACAGTTTCTAATTACATTTTTACATCCCTGCCTCCTTTGTGTGTGGGGTGGCATCTGCATTCAGTACTATGCAATGTGACTTACACAGCTGGCTGCGCTCCCAGCATAAACACAGCATAGCATGGACATGCGTCACAACCTGAACTGCTCCAATGCACCAGACGGCTAGAAAGCTACCCTCTCTGAAGCCTTCTCTTATGTCAGCTGCAGGCCTTGCTCTATGGCACTCTCACCAGCAGAGGGCATACTCTTCATGCAAGAATACATTGATCCCCTTCCAAGGCCTTTTTCTGGGTGGCTCCCATTTCTCTCCACAAACTGGCTATGCTATTGTCCACTCTCCCCATTTATTAACAAATGACGTTTCCATTTCATGTTCAGCTGCTCTTGACATATCTCCCCCCCCCATCATTCCTGTTCTCCAATCCTGATTTCACGTCCCATCCTTCACACCTGGACTCTGTGTCATTTTCACAGCAAGCTGTCACATTACAGTGCTACCATTTCCAGAATAGGATAGATCGAGGTGTGAACAGTGAATGAATAAAACAGGCAAATGCACAGAGACCCAAAAAAACCAGGACAACATGGCTGAGCGGTGAGAGAATTGCACAAGAGCATTGAGGCCTCTTACTGAAACCGGATTATGACTGCATGATCCGGAAACCAGACAAGAAGCTCCGAGAGTCTCTCCTTGAGTATTCAGACACTTACTCACACTTACTGCCTCAAGGGGAACTTCATACAGTCAGTGTTTCTTTTTATATCAGGGCTTTTCAATAATTAAATTCTGTCAACTGGATAACTGTTGTTCGGTTAAAATGAATGGATTTTCATCACTGTACTAATCGAGCGATGAGCCAAAAAAGCTGATCAAACAGAACCTGGAGCATTTCACTTCCCATGTGCTGTATCTAACATCGCAAACACAATGATCATTTCAGAAATGCTGACCTACAGTATCAGAACAGTATTAAAAAAGAGTCACAAGAGCACTTCATCCAAAGTAATACATTAATAAACAGGAAGAGTCTAATTTATAATTAGTAGCTATATCTTATTATTATTATCACAATTTACAACCTTACTATGTAGAGGTAAAAATTGTAATTGGGTATTTTTCCAACATTTTTCATGTACTATTAAAAGAATGACTCATCTTACACCAAACAATTCCCTAATTGTTCTGAGTTGTCAAATGATTGCAAAATATCTCTGCAAATCATACTGGAATTCAGATACTTCTCAAAAAGACCTATTATACCTTGGACTGTTTATGGTCTCTACACACTCTTTCATCTCCCCTTTTCCTATACCTCGATTTCTGTTTGTCTCTCACTTGCTTTGCCCATCTCTCTCCCAAAAAGAGCATCACAGCTCCCAAATCAGCTGGATCCCTTATGAAAGGTGATGACATTTCTGGAGGGAATTGACTGTTCTGAGAAACTTGCCTATGATCACACCATCCAACAAAAAAATCAGACTGACCTTCTCACATGGGGCTTTCAAGGCTGCTCAATTGATATAAATTTTCAGGAGTATGCATTTACTGCTGGCTTCATAAAAACATGTTAAATTTAATGTTTCATACAGATATACTAATAAGTATCTCAAAGCCCAAAAACTACAAACGTAGGCAATGTACACAGGCATGATCTAAACACAAAACCGATGTGCATGCATTTCTGGGAGCGTTTTGTGTTTGCATGTCAATGTGTGTGCAGTTATGGGAGCGTTTTGTGTTTGCATGTCAATGTGTGTGCAGTTATGGGAGCGTTTTGTGTTTGCATGTCAATGTGTGTGCAGTTATGGGAGCGTTTTGTGTTTGCATGTCAATGTGTGTGCAGTTATGGGTACCTCAGCTTGGGTTTGGGGGTGCTAAGGATGCTCTCAGTCTCCTCCATCTCAGGGCCGCTGTCACTGGGGTTGTAAAGCTCAAGGCTGTCATAGAGCTCATCTAGGTCCTCCTCCACCTCCTGGATCTGCTCATGGGACACATGCTCCAGTCCAAAACCCACCTGTCCGCACCAACAAACAGAGATTAATACAGAGCAACCAATGCAGAGACAGCCAGAACTTGAATGGAGACATGTCTCTAGGGTGGGACAAAAACAAAACAAGCAGCACACAGGACACCGAGAAACAAGTACCTCATCAGAAACCTTGAACCTTTTCAGCAAGGCAACAAACTTCTGTTTGATATTGGGCTGCTGTTTGAGAACAAACGAAGGTCAGTGGGGTTGAGTTTAGCTTATTTCTGGTTAAGTATAAGGAACCAGGAAAAGGAGAGACTAATTTCTGCAGCATCTCACATTAACACGAGTAATGGCAGCGCTGGATGTAAGCTTCCGCCGAGGTTTCTTCTTCCGAACCTCATCTTCTTCATCATAGAGGTACTGCAGACAAAGAGCACTGAGATTATTACTGACACACAGCCGCGTTTATAGGCCTCAATGTTCTACTTCAATGATCTGTAATCACCTGTCCATGTGAAACCCCAACACCATCAGCACCTCACCTTTCCATGTGAAACCCCAACACCATCAGCACCTCACCTTTCCATGTGAAACCCCAACACCATCAGCACCTCACCTTTCCATGTGAAACCCTAACACTATCAGCACCTCACCTTTCTTGTCTTAGTTCTTATCCTCTATTCTGGTCTCAGCACCAGCCTTCCTTTTGCCATCTTCTCCATCCACCCTCCACTTCATCGACCTTTTCTTGTCCATCTCCCTCCCCTCTTTATTCTCTCTCTTGTTTTCCTCCCTTTGTCACACCCCTTGCCTCTCTCTTCACTCTTCCTTTCCACTCATTTTTATTTCATTTCATACAGAATGGTAGTATGGCCAAGCAGTCTAAGGCACTCGATTAAGGCTCCAGTCTAAGCAGGGACATAGGTATGAATCCCACCACTGTTGACCTACAATCAATAAAGTTTATCTAACCTAATTTTTGTCACCTCCTTTCTACTCATCCTCACTCTCTTTCTGACCCACAGCCCTAACATTTCTCTTTCCCATTTCCCCTCATTCCCTCTGCTGCACACACCTGCCCATGAACAGGGTCATCGCTGCCATCCTGTTCTGATGAGTAACTCTCCTCTTCCTCCTCAGAGTAGTTATCAATGTCTGGAGAGCGATCTGCCGGGAAAGGAGGGAGGGCGATGGTACAGACAGAGAAAGACAGAATACTAATAAAACAACAGACATAGTGATCTTCTCCTAACACATATCAGATGCTCTATTCTGAGCACCTCCATGAGCATATGGATTTAACTGCATAATAATCTCTGTAGTAAAGCATGCCACCTAAACGCACGTCTCATGTTACAAACACATAGGATTATAGTGGAAGGACAGTTATGATGTGCCCTGCAGAGAAGCATTTATTATGGCAGTCTCAATAGAGTGGAGAAGCTCCTGAATTCTGACCTGAGGATCACAGTATTATGGTTAATTCAACACTTGTAACATATTTTAGTCACCACATAAAGAATCTAGTAGTATCAATGGGTTTAGAGGAACTTGAGGGAATTCCTCTGCTCACCAAACAACTTAGTCTTGGGCCCCTCGTAGTTGATGGGCTGACTGGACAGGGACTGAACGCGGATCTCAGCCACCGGGACAGATGCATCTTTCACCTGGCTGTGGAGACCCAGCACCTGAGCTCCCTCACTGGGGTGCTGCATGACCTGCATGTAACATGCTGTCAGAGCCAACTTGGCTTGCCGCATGTCCCACAATCCCCCTCTCCTCCAAGCTCATCCACAGCCCAGGTTCTTCAATTATATCAAGATTAGGGATGTCCAGATCCACTTTTTTGGTCCCCCAATCTGATTCAATCCATTCAATATTTAGATCTGCTGATTCTGAGTCTTGATCCGATCTTCTAATATTTTGCTACATCTTCTTGAAAGGATGGCATTGCAAACATTCCAGGTAGCTGTTGGGCTACTTTGAATTTCCACATGGCTGACATCTCGATAGTTTGTAGTTTCAAGCCATGTGCCTCAGACTTACTTCAGTGTGTAATGGAACCTTACAATCCGCACAACTGATGTAATTAGCTGGACACAGGACACTGGGCATTGGATTGGGCTGTGGCGGCCGATTCCGATCAATATAAAAATGCGGATCTTAAGTACTGGCTTGGGACATCAATGATGAACACATAATAAAATGGAACCAAATCTTAGAAGACATTGCAGACACTTCTCACTTAGCGACCAAGTTCCGTTCGGAATGACTATGTCATTAAGCAAATTGGTTGATAAACGAGGAACCGCCCTTTACCGATATTTCATGAATACTGTACTGATAGTGGGTTTGTTTAGATATTCTTTTAATATATATGTTATAACATTTTCATATATTTATAAATGTTTATACAGTAGTGCACTGTATACTGTAATAAACAGAATAAAGGGAAATCAGCTCAATAAAGCACAATAAAATACAAATTTATAGAAGAAATATGTAGCCTTGGAGATTGTGAATGCTAATTTAATGAATACTGAGTGACTGAAGGAACGAGACTGAGACTGAGAAGGGTGATGCGAGATGAGGGGCAAGATGCTGAGAAGCCACACCATCCTTTCCACAACCAAAGTTCTCATACTGCGTACAATACTGATTGGTCGGAGAGCTGCCGTCTGGGCCATCGTTAGGTAGGTCGATAAGTGAGGAGTGTCTATATGTGATTGGTTAATGGTCACATGGCATGACCCACTTCATGGGGTGACAGGAAAGTCACCATGTCCCCCACCTCAGCCATGTCGATCAAGCCCAGGGCCAGCGTCTTGTAGCCCAGGATGGTCCGGTTCTTGTACCGTTTCCGGCGCTGAAGCATCACCTGGAGCTTGTTGGCATCTCTCTTCAGGAAGTGTGGGTACTGTGGGGGCAGGGACATAAGCAATTCACCATTCAGTAGACTCCAAACAGCAAGTTCATTCTGAAGGTGGAGAAATGTGGCTGTAAATGACATCCATGTTGATGTGTTGTTCTGCCTTAGAGAGATTTCTCACCTGCAGGGAAAAGGTGAGCTGCAGGTCCGTCTCTGTGAGTCCTGCAGAGGCCAACAGTATCTCATTGGAGCGCAGTATTCGCTTGGAGCCCTGAGGGAGAGATGGGAATGAGATGACAGGCCACAAAACATCAGTGTCACTCACTGCACTGCCCAGTGGCCTCCAGAGGACTAGCAGGCACCTGCAGCTTGACGGCGATCACCACAGACGTCAGATCTTTATCCAGCTCCTTGAGCATCACCAGCTTCTTCAGGGTCAGGCTGAATAGTCTGGAAACAAAGGAACTAAGTGAGTATGAGGAAGAGATTAGCTCAGCAGAACATTAAGAAGTCACCAGAGGATGTTTCAGCATAAAATCTTGTAACAGTTCAGGTTGTGTTGCTGGTGGTGATACTGTTAGGATTTTATTAGTGATCAACTTGACATCATTTAACTAGGGCTGTGAATCAAATAAAAAATGAATACGTTTTCTGTGACAGATGTGATTAATCGTAATTAAACATTAAAAGTTACAATTATAAATATTTACACACCGAATCCCTAAATGAATGTAAAATTAAGACAAATAACATAACATTTTTTACTCTTACAAACACATTACCGTATCATATAAATTTTCTCAAATTTTTTTAATTACTTTGAAAACAATAGCCAATACTTTGCTTAAACTGCCAATTTCATCTCTGGGTTACTTAATCAGTTTTTACCATTACCATTGATTTCTGCAATAAAACAAAAACATTCATCTAATCCAGGGCATGAGTTACAGATATGAGAAAAAGAGAAAACTAACCAAAAATGTATATTTCTGCTCAATTTTATCATTCAAATTGTTTATTGCGGGTTATGTGCAGCAAATTTGAATGATTCAACAACATTTTATCTAGTTTTGTGTTCTTTGATTTTTGCCTACTAGTTTCATCAAATCAGAGCAACAATTGTAATATACCTAAAAGGTTTCACTGCAAAAAAATTAAATACTGTATTTCATTGTAACTTTTTAAAAATTTTAAAGTTTGCGGAATGACCCATACTTTAATATTTTTTAAATGGTTTAACTTAAAATTGTAACATACAGATTAGTCATTTCCAACAAAAATACTACTTGCAAGCAAGTACAAGCTGAATTTCTAAGAACAGAAGCTAGATAACTATGGGCTGATATTTGTGCCACTAGATACTGAATATGAATAGTGTACAGTAAGCCCTCGTGCATTCGTGCTTCGTGATTCGCGAATTCACATATCCGTGAAAATTTCATTGGAACCGAACTTATTTGCATCCACGATTTTTTTGCACATCTGAGAAAACCCTACAGAAGTGTTTATGTTTAATTTTCGGAGTAATTTATCTTTTCATGCTTTTGCAGTGCAAGTGTAAAACTTAGTTAATGAAGATTCTAATGTGTTTTTGGGGAAAGTTCAAGACATACAATATAAATCAGTTTAAAAATTACTTTAAAAACGTGGCTTTCTTTAGGTTAAGTTAGGTGTAGGGCAATAACTCTGCTCCATCTTCTCTGTTCCGAGCTGATCCCAAGCCGACACTTCACTGCTTGAACCCTCACCTGGACTCCTTGGAGATAATTACATGAAACCAACTGGGACTTTAAAACTATATGGACTGAAATTAATGTCAATGTAAATGCAGTTTCATGCCCCCTAGTCACCCAGAGGAGGATGGGGTCCCCTTCCAAGTCTAGGTTCCTCTCAAGGTTTCTTCCTGCTAGAGGGAGTCTTTCCTTGCCACTGTCGCCTCAGGCTTACTTGGTGGGGTTGTGGCCGGTTAAATGTAATGTGCTTTGTGACAATGACTGTTGTTAAAAGCACTATATAAATAAAATTGAATTGAATTTCTTATGGAAACATTCCTTTTTATGTAGACACTGTACTGTACCTTTACAAGATGCGAATCCCATTCGCAAAGTTTATTCCCTTTGGAACAGTCATGACCTGTTCGTCTGATCCTCCCGTGTGCCACACCCCCTCATCTACCTCGTGTGGAATCCCCGCCTGATCAGCTGTTTCACGTTACTGTCATTAGTCCAGTGTATTTAAGTCTGCGTTTAAGTTTGTTTCCCCCAGTTTGGTCATTAAGGTCATTTACAGTTTGCTGCCTGTTCCTCGAGAAGCATTTGCTATAAACACTGAAATGGTTCGTTTACTCATTTTACCTTACTGTGAATGCAAAAGAAAACAGAAGCCAATGCTGTGTTCTATGAATTAGTAGGGGTAACATTAGTATACTGTACTGTAAATGTGCTAGTGTGACAAATATCCGTTAGGCGATACTGTACTCTAATTTACATCAAACATTTGTTTTTTTTAAAGGTAATGTATTAGGCTAACTTTTAAATGAAATTAAAGTGTTATGGGAGCATATTTATGGTTTAAACCATAGAAATAAGCACATATTACCATTTTTAGTGACTACCAAACATCCACAAATCCTCCTCATTCGCGACGGTTCTGGGAACGTAACCTCCCGAATGTCCGAGGGCTTACTGTATATTTCAATCTGCAGTTGTTGCATTAAAAAACAATCTGAATTTATTAGTTTGAATCTGAATTCCAATAACTTGAAACTGCATTTATGCTACCTGGAAAATGTGACGCTCTATACTTACAAATTCACTTCTCCCAATCCAATTTCATTTCTCACAATTCAATTTCAATTTATTGAGACACATAATTCAGATTCAGCTTTTATTGCAACAGTGAGGTTACAGCCAAGGCTGGACACCCTGCAGGAGTGTGTCCAATACTGTTTTACACTAATTTTTATACATTTTCTTATCATGTAACAATATCTCGTCACTTAAGCATCATCATTTCTTCAACCATTCACCATCGTTGTTTTCTCCCTTGATCCACACCCCTAGCTGATAAGTTTGTCAATCATCTCTTGTACTGTTTGGTCCCTCGGCTGAACATAATGGTGGCATGACCATCTCTAGTTGGTTTTTTGAATACCCAGCCGTGAACTCAGGCGAATCCCTTCCTTCAGTAGCAAACCTTGGCAACTTCAGCTTGTTGTACATTGTCTGGCTAGAGGGTTAATAATATATGTCCTTCAACATAGTGACAAGCTGCAGCACTAATAAAGTACATATTCATATATCAAATGCTAATAAAATAGCTAACAGATACAGAAACTTCTAAGCCAACACAAGGTGCTAATTCATACTTGTTTTTCGTCACATTGTGCACAGCAGTATTTGGTCTGCATTCTCTGAAGGTTACAAAGTCACTATGCACAGTTACATCAGCTTCTTATAGTCCTAATGATTACATTCTCTATGCATTATGAAGTGCTAAATAATATTCCATACTCACATATTAGAAATTAATACTGACGTCTGCCTCATATCGGCGAGATGAATATTTTAAAAGATATTTAGCATAAACACTGCTAGAAAGCCACATGATATGAACAGGGTTGTTTAATAACTTAAACTAAACTAGAAGTAGAATTCATATCCCTAGCCAGTTTTGTATTAGACTACCATATTAACAAACTAGCAGTGCCAGAAATCGTTCATTTAGCCAAATATACTACCATACTAACCAGACCTACGGATAATTTCTATGTTATCGCTTGTGTATATAAAGCTTATTCTCATATATATCATAAAGTAATGCTCTTGCAATATCCCGGCACACGCCTCCTCTTTACCCCGACCTGCAGAACTGTCGGAAATGTGGAAATGAGTTGCGTTGTGAACCTGGAGTCGATTACTTTTCCTCAAGGACCCCAATTGTGCGTCTCAACAAACTGAAATTGAATTGTGAAAACTGAAATTGAATTGGGAGAAGTGCATTTGTAAGTATAGAGCGTCACATTTTCCAGGTAGGATAAATGCCGTTTCAAGTTATTGGAATTCAGATTCAAACTAATAAATTCAGATTCAGTTTTCTAATGCAACAACTGCAGATTCAAATATACACTATTCATTTCGTTTCTAGTGGCACAAATATCAGCCCATAGACAACCACCAAAAGGGCACTTATTAACAAAAGATCTTAAGATCTTAAGGCATAGACCGTGAATAAAATAAATACTGCAAATTACTATATTTTTAACATATATTTGCCTTTCTCTGGTATTGTCTTAAAACAGAATAAAACAGGTAGCTGAATGTTTTGATTTTAGCTTTGAATTCTGGGATATGGTGCAACATCACAACCTAAACTGTCACATCACATGGGAACCTCAGGCACTCAGTACAACCATAAGAAGCCGCATGGGCCGTTGAGTAGAATGGCCTGAGCCAAAGACAGGCTCTTATAGGGATTAGTGAGCAAGATGGCCTGAGACAAAGGGTCAGCTCATAGCTTAAACAGTGTGACCCAATGCACTCATCCAGCAAGCATATTTACCTTTTTCCTACTCTGGCACTTTTATTTTCAGTGTCAATGTCACATGTGCCAAATTTGGAAAGGAAGTTCACAAAGAAGTCAAACAAATAGTGTAATTTAACAGCCAAGCAGTTAATCCACTGTGTGCATTTCTGCAGTCAGGGTTTCATTCCCACAATAATGGTTATAGTTATGAGTAAGAGTACTCTTTGTCTCAGTCAGGGTGACACTCCTACAATAATGGTTATAGTTATGAGTAAGAGTACTCTTTGTCTCAGTCAGGGTGACACTCCTACAATAATGGTTATAGTTATGAGTAAGAGTACTCTGTGGCACAATCAGGGAGACTCTCCCACAATAATGGTTATAGTTATGAGTAAGAGTACTCTTTGTCTCAGTCAGGGTGACACTCCTACAATAATGGTTATAGTTATGAGTAAGAGTACTCTGTGGCACAATCAGGGAGACTCTCCCACAATAATGGTTATAGTTATGAGTAAGAG